GAAATCTATCATTGCCGGGCGAAATTCGTAACTTCCTCTAATAGTAATCCTGTTTATCCTCGCCTAGCGCCGTTTATCCTCGTCTAACGCTGTTTATCATTGTATAAAAACCATTTGTTCTCTCCAGGAGAAAAGAAAGCACTTGGAACCAGAACTGGAGACAACTTCGAACCAAAACTATCCATTGTTAGAGAGTGTTGATTGCTTAGAAATAAGCCAATGATTGTTTTGATTGGCGAACATGCGCCAGTACCAATTTACCATCGAAACGAATCATGAAATGTCGCGCTGACCGAGTTGAAGCACCTTTTTTTCTTTTAACGTGAAAGCTCCAACGCTGCTCCTGCCAGTTCTTGCCATTATTTGTTTTTGCATAAATTATGAAAATGCACTGTGCGGAACTTTAATCTCTCTATTTGCTTGATTCACTAATTCAACGTCAGGAATACAGAAACTAAGAATTTCAACTCCGTTAAAGGCATTTTTTTGGCACAATCCATTTTTTGGGGGTGGGTGAAGGCACAGTTCTTGTTTGAACTCTTAGCTCTCTACATATCTTCGTCAGTGACCTTAGGTCGAAACTGAACTGCAGCTACAAAAGGGCAGCATACTTGTCACTTTTTTATCCTGTTGCGTAATTTTGCTCCTATTACTTTCATGCTATTACACTTTTTCTTCTTCCATCTCTCTTTCTCTTTTACATATCCGTCCAGCAAATTAGTTACGTGTCCTTTTAATATGTATGGCGGGTAGGAGGCTGTACTGACGATTCCCACTCCTACCCGCATGCATAGTCCGGTCTGTGTTTACAGCTAAGGGATGCACCGAAAAATATCACCCTACTACATCTAAAGGATAAAGGCAATTTGCACCATAAAATATCACCTTACACATGACGCCTGCGTACAGTCCTGCTGGTCTATTATTTCAGGTTTAATTCATGCCGTCTTGATAATTTTAGAGCGAAGGTGCAGCTTACTTCATCTGAGATTTACTGCTTTGCGAGTAGCATTTGCAGCAACAGTAGCAGGTCGAGTAGGTGTTGATTGACCTTATTTGTTTCGATTGCGACAGCTACTTGCAAAAACGCGTGCACATATCGGTAATCAGATCCCGCAGATGTTATTGCTGCGGTGCTGCCTGCATGCCCGTAGATGAATTGAAGTTTTTCGAGAAGCGAAAGTAGCGAGTAGTTTCAGATGCCCATCACAAAGCGTGCGATCTCGCCGGTCAATGTAAGCCTTCATCGTTTACCGGCATCGATTCAGCGTGACGAACTGGAATGCGTCGCAAATGGCACTCTGGCAAACCTGATTCGACAGCTGAGCTCGTTGAGCCGCCATGCTGAGCATATTTTTGGCGAAATTTATCACGAGGCTGTAAAATTGGACCATAAAACGAACATGCTGTCGCAGCGAATCGAACGTCTCACGCACAAAGTATCACAGCTCGACTACACAAAGGAAGAAGGTTGCTTTTTTTCTCTTCTTACACGTTGTTACTTGGATCTAACGTTAAAACGGTCAAAACAAAAATCCTGTTTTCAGAAAATGGTTGCTATCTGCGCTTTGTTTTTATAGTTTTTTTTTTTTTTTTTTTGTT